CCCTCTCCAGGGAGTGTAGTTGACCAAAGTTGTCTCGGACCACATGGCAATACTCGGCCTAAGCCTCCAGCCATGCTGCACCAGGGGAAATCTGCTTCAGGGGTGCAAAGATTTCCCTGGTGCAGCCTCCCAGCAGACTGAGCTCCTTCCCTGCACAGCCAAACTGCCATGGCCTGCTGGATTTACGGGGTGGGAACTCTCCTGCCCATGGAGAGGTGAGATTACAACATCATGTGGTTTGGGTTTTGTGTAGTTCCCCCTCCCCCCCAAATATCAGCTGCAGGATTTGGCTCTAAAGTTAATTTTGTTTAATCATCTGCGAGGTTGTGGGATGCACTGTGTGTGAGTCTTCGTGGTTGTTACGCAGTGCACCAATTTCTAGCTCTTAGACTCATAGGGTATGTTTACCCTGCAAGAAAAGACCCACGGTATGGCATCTGGCCTGCGTCAGTTGACTCGGACTTGGGCTGTGGGACTATAAATAGCAGTGTAGATGTTTGGCCTCATGCTGGAGCCTGGTTCTGAGGAGTTCTGGTTCTGACCTGCAAGGGGGGTGGGATCTCAAAGCCTGGGCTCCATTGTGGGGCCCAAACATCTACGCTGCTATTTTTAGCTCCACAAACCCAAAAGTCAGCTGACCCAGGCTCTCAGACTTGGTGCCGTGGGTTTTTAACGCAATAGTGTAGTGGCCCATGGCTGTTCCTCTCCATCAGTCTTGGGCAGAGGCCACAGCCCCTGACTGTGTTGTGCCTATGGATGCAAGGCTCAACACCGGAATGAGCCGTCTAGGGATTCTGGCCAGGATTCTGGGCAGGGCAGAGCAATAGGCAGTGTAAAGGCTCTGATCCTCAGGATGGGCTAGAGCGACAAGCAGTCTTAGGGCCCTGACCCTCTGGGCACCACAGAGCAACAGTGAATGCAGGCCGTCGGGCCTAAGGTGGGGAGGCTGCCACCCACAGGGTGGGGCTGGCAGCAGGGGGCAAGGGGACATGGTCGCACCCTACTCTACCGGGTCCCAGCCCAGGGCCCTTTCAGTGGGGATCCCACTGAAACCTGCTGACCTAGACTCTGGCCACACAGCCAGACTAATGTCTAGTATCCCTGGGCTACTTCCTGTGACCCCATCTGAGTGCGTCCCCATCTCCCTGGGGTACACTGCCAGCGGCAGTCCCCGTAGCTCCTCCGGATATAGGTCGGTCGGCAGTCCTGGCACCTCCTCTGGGTCCTCGGCACAGCAGAGCTCCGTCTTGGGTTGAGGGCTTGGCAGCTGGTGAGAGATGTCTGCTTCCTTCGCCGGCTCTCGAACAATTGAGTTGTAGGGCCCACCCCTTAAACTTCCTGTCCCGCTCCTCTGCTTCTGGCAGGGGGTGTGGCTTGCCTGGCTCTGCCCACCAAAGGGTGGGGCCAGGTTTCTCCTCTCAGTCTCCGAGGGAGGCCATGCCCCTCCACTACACATACACATAGACTTTAAGGCCAGAAGGGACCATCATCATCATCTGGTCTGACCTCCTGCACATTGCAGGCCACAGAACCTCACCCACCAACTCCTGATAATAAATATACTGATTCTGCTCTTGCAAAGTGAGGTTATTTCACCCACCTCTGAGAATGGACTGTACACAACAAATTAACATACCACTCCGAGAATACTCTAGGCCAGTGATATACCTACGAGACCAATTTTAGGAGCTATTACGTGGTTTACTTTTTAACACGATTTCTCCTAAGTCCTTTCCATAACCACTTTTGAGTTGGTTTGGAGGGGAAAATCTGTTAATCAAAATAAAGGTGTAAGGGCCTTAAATGAGCACAATATACTCTTCTATGTGAAATCTTTCCTCTGCTATGCCCATAGCCACAACTGCTATTATTTTAGTGGTCGTGCAGTTTTCCGGGGAAAGAGTTCAAACGTCTGAAAAATAGGTCTTCGGGTACGCCCATGGAGGGCCCAAGCCAAAGTCTGTTAAAGTGAATGGAAACACCCCGTCTCTCCCCACTCCCCTTGACTTCAGTGTGTTTTGGATCAGGCTCCAAGTATGTGACAAGATGATCTGTAGGTGCCGTTGAAAGGCTATATGAAGTCATACCATTCCAACAACTCAATCTTCTCCGTTTTCCACAGTAATTTATTAGTTCACTTTGAGTCCTTTTCGTGGCAGTCTTTTGAAAGCCGTATAAATTGAAAAGGAAAAAAAGTGGAAGGGAAGGAGAGCTTGTTGAGAAAGAAGAGCAATGATGTGAAACCAAGGAGCAGATGGAAGTATATCTGATGTGGGAGTTCTTTTTGGTGTCACCATATGGGAGTGTACCCAGATAGCTGGTACTTTAATAGAGAGCCGTGCAGACATCAGCTGTGACAGGTGATCGTCTTTCTATAAATGCGAGGAGGTTTATGAACTTCACAGTGTTCCATCTGTAGGTGCTTTTTTTGTATTAGGCATTTCTGAATGCAGTCTCAACGCCCCCAGCAAAGCGGCCTATTTAATTGCTCAAAAATGTCCACCTTAATTTTTTGTTTCAGCTCCTACATATCTCAAATATTTCACAGCTAGTTTCCATACATCATATTTATAAATATGAGAAGCAAACATTTTTTATATTGGTAGTTATTAAATGTGTGCAACATGTAAATATGGGTGGCATGCAATGCAAAAATAAAGTGGATTTGAGTCCAAACCATTTGCTTTTCATTAGGTTATGCAACTCTAACAGAAACAGTAACATGTGTGTTTACATTGCTGTGGACATGTGAAGCCAGACGCTGAAAACATTCCTCTAAGGTTGTATAAACTCCAGCAACTAAATATTTTGGGAGCTGTTTTCTAACGCCAGCTTAATAGTTTAAAAGTATAACCTGGATTCCAGATATTAAAAATGCCTGAGAGGTATGCATATCACTGCAGCAGATGAAACTAACTAAACCTCTAAAGTATGCAATAAGCTTCTATTTTGCAATATCGTCTCTGTTACTTTCCTTTTTTTTTTTATGTCAGGAGATTAAATTCAAGCTTTTAGCTATGTAGTGGTAGAGATGGAATTTTTCAGTATATATGAATGGGCTGACTGAAACTTTTCAAAACAAATCTGTTTATGATGGAATAGTTCAGTTATTTTAGAAACAGTAAATGGGAAAGATCAGCAGGAGGAAACCAATAACCCAAAATGTGCCCATTTCCTTCCACCCTGACTAATGGGACAGTATCAAGAATTTCCAAGCATATGTTTGATAGTAATCTTAGTCTTACATTCATTAGAGACATTTGATTTTACTCAGTGTTTTTAGATGTGGAACATATCCTGATTAGCTAAGGCCCGTGCTTAATTTGCACCAGGGCTTGCCGGGGCCGAGCCCTGGCACCTCTGGGTTTGCTGCATCAGTTATGAATGTAAAAAAATTGCTTGAGCCCTGGCACCTCTTTCATTACAAATTAAGCACTGGCTAAGGCTTCACACAAAAATATCTAGGCAATTTTACTGCTTGAAGATACTTTCAATTACTTTGGATAAATTAAAAGTTCTTTTGCTGCGTTATTTCTACCATATATGTCAGGTTCTGTCTTGACCAGTCACTTTTACAAAACATGCTCCCTTGATGGGACTTGGCACAAGGCTGCGTGCTTCTGAAAAAGTCACCCTTACGTGCTAGGATCTGCCATTTAACCAGGCTAGAGTCATTGCGGTTTTCTAATATCCCAGGATAGCCAAAGCCCACTCTGGACAAGTGAAATTATCCAGTGCCAAAAGCTTCTCACTTGCTCTTAACAATCCTGGGTGCATTGAGTGACCAGAACAGCCAGCCTAAAGCTGAAAATGAACATGGGGCCCCTTTTCCTTGCAACCTCTACCAAACAGCCAAAGAGCTGGCTGATTTGCCCATCCGGCCTGTTGGTTTTCTGCGTTCCTTCTCTGGCCCATGTCACCTGTACTGCACATCGGGAGCACTGCACACGGCTAACTTTGCCTGGCTCTGATAGAAGAGCCTGACCCTAGGGTGATGGGACTTTTGTCGCTGACCTCTTTGAAAACGAGATTTGGTTCTAAAGTAGGATGGCTGCCTTTTATTGGACAGTTGAATTCTGACAGCCAGGTTATCCTTAAACCAGTTCTCCCTAGCTATAACAGTATTGTTGGTGGGCCTGACTTTCTGAAGGGCTGATCCCCTGGGCTTTGATTGGAGTTCTCAGCACTTCTGCGTATCTGGGCTATTATTTTTGCTTATTTACATAGCACAGGCGGGGCGCCGTGTGTCTCCAGCCTGGCGATGCACAAGGATAAAAATCCTGCAAGATCTATCCTTTCTTTTCATACTTGTTACTTCCGAGTGGGGCAGTTGTCTCTCCAGCCAGCATTTTGTCATTTTCGTAGAGATCTTTATTAGGCTGAGAAGACTGAGAGTCCAATCTCGCAGGTCTTTGCATGCACAACACCCATTGACTTCTTCAAGTGTTAACTTAGGGTTCCAAACCACTAGCTCTGCTCCCACTGAAGTCAATGGGAGTCTGGCTGATTTCAGTAGGAGTTCAGTAGCAATACTGAGTGCTTTTCTGAAATCCCACTCTTCGGGGGACAAAGCCCCTCTCTGACACAGCAAAGGGGCCATATGTAGCTGGTTTAGAACGCCTGTTTGGGAATTCTCCTTGTGGCATGTAGCCCGGCTTAGGCCAATTCCTCTGTGTAGGGAGCATGTTGGGGGCAACTGCAGGGCAAAATTCTTCAGTGCAACTTTTTTTGCCATTTGGCTCATCTCAATTGTGTACACGAACATCCCTGAGCTCTTTAACGAGCCGACACTTGGGCTTGATGAGTAATTAACTTTCCCTCCTGCCTCCATTCCTCCTTCATGCATGTCTCAAGCAAAGGGTGTGAAAGGAACTGAGGTTATTAAAGTACGATTTCTGCTGTTAAGAATGAATCAACACTTGAGATGGGGGAAGCCCTGCAAAGTGGAACAATGGTGAAGGGGGCTTTCCCATTGTTCTGTGCCACCTTGTGTCTTTCAGCTGTTGAAAGGAATGTCAATATCCCGGCGAAAAGCTCCAGACAAAACCACGGATGAGGACGAGTCAGAAAGCGGAGACTGCGATGATGAAGATGACTGCAGCGGCGGCTCCGGAAATGGAGAACTAAGGGTTAAGAATCAGCTCCGGTTCTTAGCAGGTGATGAGAATAATGACTTGAGTTTTCGTTCCCGCTCTGAACGTTACCTAGAACTTGGGCACAAGGGTCCATTAACGCCGAACTTAATAGAATGATGCTAGGGATGAATCCGGTCCCGGGAGTGTTTTGTTCAGCAGACACGTGGCAGATTTTTGTATGTAAGCCTCACTGACACTAGCAAGCACGGCTAGAATAACTCCTCAGTGACCTGGGAGGAGAGGACACAAGCTGCGTGCTTTCCTCTACGCCAGGCTCTCTGGGGAAGTTGGCTGCTGCCCAGCTGTCTGTAACTGGGAGGCCGTTTGCATGGGTCCTCTGAGGAGGCTCCATTACACCCATGTGTAGCTGATTTCATCCCCCTGTAGGTGTGTTGTGTATTCCACAGCATGGAAAGGGGCAGTAGCCACTGAGTGAAGGGAAAGAGGGTTTGGGGCTAATTCTCATTTACACTAAGGCCCATGTACACTGTTCTGACAGTGTAAAGGGACCAAGTAGATGTCAATATTATGTACCCCCCCCACTACTCCCCCAAGACCATTTACACAGCCTGGAGGGTGTAGGATGGCCTCAATGTAAATGAGAATCCAGCCCACTGTGTGTGGGAAGAGGCCATTGCCTTGAAGTGGTGCTCCTCCTTTTTTAAGGCCTGTGTGTACGAGTCGGGTTCAACGGGAGATTTTACATGTTTTTATGCATAGGTGGTGACCAAAATCCAGTTCTCTACCCTACCCCAACCCCTGGTGCTCCAAACACCCTGTGGAACATGGGACTCTGTGAGATCAGTTTTCTGTCTGGTAAAGGTATTGAAAAGAGGGAGGACCCCAGAGTGGGTCGCGATCCCATTTTAATGGGGTTGCCAAAGCTGGTATTGGCCCTGGGCCCCAGCAAGTCTGAAGCCCAAGACCCACCACCCAGGGCTAAGGTTACATACCCCCTCCCCAGGGCAGAAGCCCTTGGGCTTCAGCTTTGCCCCCCCCCCACCACCACCCGGGGCGGCGGAGCTCGGTCTTTGGTCCCCCCTCCTGAGGTCGTGGAGTAATTTTTGTTGTCAGAAGGGGGTCACGACGCAACGAAGTTTGAGAACCACTGCTCTAAAACAAACCAAACTGTTTCTATTTCAATCTGGACTGCTACAGCTCCATTGAAAGCAGCAGCTCCAACCACTTCCCTGATGTAACTGAGACCAGAATAGCCATTTAGCCCTGATCTGGGGCCGTTGAAAATTGACCTTTGGACTTTGGTGGTGCTACACTGACTTACACCAATTTAATTCTGTTTCAAGGGCTGTAGGCTTCTCTTCTTAAAGACCAGACAACAGAACCTGGATAAAATCAGCCCTGTGGCTTTGAAGTTTAAGAGGCAAATTTGGACTCTTAAACTAAGCCCAGATGTTTATAAATTCCCTTCCATTGATCTGAGACAATTAAAATATCCCTAACAGAGTGGGGGATGAGAGATTTAATAGCAGCCTCCTGTCCAAGATTGTGTTTTTTACATAATATGTAAATAAAATATTTATATTCAAATATCAGTTGAGACAGAAAAGATTTTTTAAGTCATCTAGTCCAACCCTAACTGATATTAGACAACAAAATAAAAATCTAATTCAGATAAGGATGAAATGCACTTTCTTTCATCAAACACTTAAACATCAAGGCATATGTAAGGGAAATACAGCTGATTCAGCTATGCCCCATTGTATCAAGCTAAGCCTGGAGATGCAGGTTTCATCCTATATTAAATCTTTGTGTCACAGCTTCATGTTATTTCAGTACATTTTAAATTTCCTTTTATGCCCTTTAGCCTAACAGTATCACTGATCTCTGAAGACATGCATAATCCTTCGCTACCTTTTTCCGTCTCTCTAGGCTGGTCTAATCACTGTATTGATCTCCCAGATACCCTATCTGTCTAGATGTTTATATCTTTCTTGTCACCCTGGTATGTGAACACATTAAATGAAAAAAAGGAACAGAAGGATTCTCTCTCTCATTTTATCTGGCTGAAGGGTATTTGTTGCTTACTTCTATGGTGTACGGAAAACTGTTAAAATGACAAGCTATCTCTTTAATTTGTAAGGGGTTTTCTGGCCCTGTGTGCAGGATAGGAGGCTCTGTAGGGAGGCATGTGAACTGAGTAAGTCTGCAAAGAGCCAGCCTAGGGCAAAATGGAGGTGAGTTGGGCCCCTCTGCCTTAAGGAGCAGCCTGCATTGTCTCTCTCTGATTTTGGTTCTTGTATGTTACGGTTCTGGATTTAAAAAAAAATAAATTAGTGTTATGTTGCAACCTTACAGCAAGAATATTTAACGTTTTTTATCTAATTTCTCTGTATGCCGTGAACTTCCTTCTCCACAATAGCAAATATCACTGGTAAAGAGTGAAGTCTTAGTGAGATGTTCTTGGCATTCCACTCTCTTCAGGCTTCACCCTGCAATACAGGAGCCAGCAAAGCAGTTAAGTACATGAGAAGTCCCATTGAAATGAATGGGGCTGTTCTGGCATTTTCTAACTTTTGAGTTCTTGCCTTTGCAACCTTAATGTTCTTTTAACGTAGCTTTTTGGATGTAATATAACTTTAGAGTATACTCTCGTTGGAGAAATTTCTGTGGAAAGATGTGAAATGCTTTGTGATTTGGGCTGAAAACCAGAAAAAATGTTTTGAAATCCCATTTTGACATTTTCAGAATTAAACATTTAGATTTTTTTAAATGACTTTTTGTTTTGAAATTTGTATTTGCTATTATGTGATATTTATTACGTATTATAATCTAGTAGAAAATTTAAAAAGTCAAAAGTAAAACAAAACCTTTTGATTGACTCTCGTTGAAATGTTTTTAGAACTTTCCGATATGAGTTTTGAACTGTTCTGTGGCCGTTCTGATTTGAAACAGAGCCGGATTCTGAAATCTCAAACTCTTCCATCCTCGGCACAGCTTTGCAAATATGTGCGTACAACCAGGCTTGTGCGGGTTTATCTCCCTGCCTACCAAGGAGGGTAAAGAGGCACAAGGAGGGTTGGTTTCTCAAATTATTGATGGCTCCCCTTTTTTTAATTACTGGACACTTTTATATCATTGAAGTCTTTGGGTGTCAGAATGTGCTGTTATTCCTCTGCGTTGTGGAGTATTGTTAGGTTAGTGATCAAACAAGTCAAATAACTTAAAGTGGACTTTTGAGGTCTTGTTTGACCCTTTTCTGGTTCAAAATCAGCGAGTGACAGTTTGGCAAGTTGTTTTTCTTTCTTTTTTAACTTGTTCTCCAAAGTAATGTTCAGTTCAGCTGATACTCTCTTTCCTTGTCCCTGACGTCTAATTTGCAGTAGGGTCAACATGCAGAAAGTCCAAATGCTATCAAGAAGCATAAGAACTTTAAATAGAATGGTGGCTTCTCTCTAATTAATTAAATCACAAAAGGAGAGATGATGCACCAGCATACCATTGTGGCAGTAGATGGTTAAAACCCTAGGAAGACACAGTGGCTGGTGATAAAAGGCAGAATCCTGAGCAGAAGTTAAAACAAAGATGATCACAATTTGCCAGCGAGGAGACTCTCCCTGAAAGAAGATTCAACACCTACTGACCTTTCAAGGAGCTCAGTTTGATTGTGTGTAGATACTGGTGATCTAAACCTCTCCTGCTCACCAGTTACTCATATGCGGGGTACCTCTGGTTCTAGCAGTTTCACTACTAACAGCTGCTGACCAAACAAGACCTTTCCCTACCAGCTGTCACCCTGAATGGTTTTGAAAATCAGGAGAAACAAAAACAAACAGAGAAAAAAACACATTGTTTCCAATATACTAGTTTTGATTTATCTCCTGTTCTATAAAGTGTAACCTTTATTTCTTATTTATAATGACCCTATAATAGCTGCATGGTCAACTGAAACCTTAAGGATTTAAACACACTTGTAAACTGTCAAGTCAAAAGTTTGTGAGTGACTATAAGCATATGCTGGCGAGCTCTATATGCTAATAAATTCATTATTATGTTGCCCCACTGGAAAAAGCACCGAGATAGAGGGATTTTATGATAGACCTTTTATCCTTTGTCACATCTGCAACACATTCAAGATTTTGAAGGCAGATAATGTTTACAATAGGAGAATGATTGAAAAGCTTCTAGATCAATGAGCAGAACTTCCTGTTTTTCAGTGGGAAAGCCCTGGAATCTGCACCATGTACACGTAAACCCTAAAATAGATCTGTACACACACACACATGTACGTACGCCACACCAATGGTGAATAAATGATAGTATTCCCCCGCAAATTGCAAGGTACTGCGAATGTGTCCAGAGTTGTGTATTCACCCGCTTCTGAAATCAATCATGCTGCACTTGTACCCACCAAAGCAGACAGGCTGGTTGCTTGCTGGCAAATTGCTGACATTCCGAATAGCCACCCAGTAATTAACTCACCTCTGGAATGCTCTGTCAAGACGTTACTTATAACCAGCCAGCCTGCTGCCAGGAAGCCTGAAAATAAAACATGAGTACTGGAGACAACACGCCATGGTGAGTGGCTTTCACGTACGTGGAGCATGAAGATCGCCTTTTGCTGCGTTTACTGAGGATGGCGGCCTGGCACACTTCGCTTGCCCGGGATGACTTGGCAATTGCAAGCTTCCTGGACAACGTCTGAGCACCCCCCAAAATAGCAATTGCCAAGAGGGATAAATAAATCCCTTTTAGGACCCATCTTCTGGGAACACTTAGGAACATACCTGCCAGTTAGAGCAATCTGGCGGATTCCCAGGGGGATGGGGGAAGGGAAGGTTCAGAGATAGCCTAAGTTGTCCCTGAAAGGGAGAAGCTGAGCAATATGGAGTAGAAGTGAAGCCTGTCATGGGCATGGAAATCTGCTCCATCCCATCTGCCATTCAGACAGCCGTAGGGGTGCGTGTGAAGAGATACTGACATAGATGTGTGTGATAACGATATATGCAGCCTGTGTATAACAATGCCACCTGCTGGCTGCTCCTGCTGCACCCGTGGAGCTAA